TTCTGCATGGCCACCACCCTTGCCACAGTGGACGGGTACAGATGAAGATTGGCAAAGTTTTGGCACCTTCCTATCTCTTCTCCATTGGTCATGCGAGGAGGGAATGCGTGTCTCGTATACAGAACTTGCGGTACTCTTTGTCTTTCTTCAGGTCCCTTGCTCCTTGTTTGCAGATGAACACTTCACCTTTCAAGCGCTAGCAAAATGGATCAAGAATTCCTTTGCGCTTTGTCGAAGGAAGCTTCCCTTCGATTGTTCACCAGGCAAACATGAGGCTCATATTGCCCATACGTGGGGGAAAAGCATGCCACCTGGCACCATTTGTGGAGGCCGCCCCTTCTTTTCGGATGCTGCGTTGCATTTGTTGGTTAGGGTGGCTCGCAAGGTCACTGGTGCGGCAATGTCCGCGTGGAACTTCCCTGTTGCGGAGTTTCGATGATCGCTTGTTTTGCATGTACAAAGGATCTTTTCGCATATCGTCCAGTGGAAAGCTGGCGATACTGGTCACCTCAAAGGGGTTCGAACGTGGCCGCGGGAGGTAGAAGAGGCTTTACCACACCTGTTTTGGGGTGGCGGCCTACCTTAGCTGCTGCTTGAAGAAGCCGAATGAACCATTGGACTAGCCCAGACTGACCTGAGCGTTGGCTCCTTTTTCTCAAGCGACTGGGTGTTTGGCGAAGTAAAGATGTTTGTGTGCAAAGGATTCGATAGTTACAATTTCAAGTGCAAGCGCAATTCAGTCAACTTGAGCTTGGCCAGTGTGAGGTATGATTGAGGCAACGGTTCGACAGTTTCGAACTGTTGCCTCAATCATGCCTCACGACTATGATTGAGGCTTGCCTGGCAGTCTGAGGAATGCCCGCGGGTGGCATGAGAAGGCTTACTGGAGGGCCACTACTGCAGAACCCTATAGACTATCCTATAGGTACTCCTGTAGGGTCCTATAAGGTCACTTACTGCAGGTGCAACACGGCACTTGGCTTCCGGAACCCGGGGAATGTGCTCCGAACCAGGGCTCGGAGGTGAGCTCGGGTGTGGTGAACCAGGGCAGCCCCGCTACTACCAAAGGATGACGGCTTCTGTGGCACCCTGATTATCAGGGTGTCAGGGACCACTGCTCGTCTCCTGTGGAATGTTTACAAAAAGGCCGGAGTACACTGCCCTGGGAGTCCAGTCAACTAGTTTAAAAAGGGCCTGACTATATAGATGAACTGAAGTCCGGAATTTCCTCAACACTTGGGCGGTGCCAAGCATCGTCGAACTGGACTTCTAGGGCATCTTGAATCTATACCAGCACTCTCACCTGGAGGGCGCTGTTTTTTTGTGTATTTGAATGGATGCTTTGTTTGCGCTTCTGTTGCGTAAGGCTGCCGGCTGCCAGGCTTGGTCAAAAACACGATGGCAATGCTCAAGAGCCACCGGGTGTGTAGAATGGACGCGTCAGATGGCAAGCCCCACAAGACTCCTGCCAGGCCACATGTATGCAACCACCAGGAGTTCTTTACAGCCCAGCAAGGGCGATGTAGAACTCGGCCAGGCCACATCGGAGTACTGCGCTGGTGCTCAACGCTGCATTCCAGCAGCCCTGGCAGGCGGTGCTGGTGATTTGGTTGATTGAGCGGCCGAGATCAGTCTACTTTAAATAGGTTCCCTCCCCCCAAAAAAGAGGACATATCAGAAGATCATGCCTTCCAGTCTTCCAATAAAACCTGGTGAGTTTCCAAAGGTGAACATGTTGGGCAAGGAATTTCACGGTTTTCACTGTCAGGCCCAGCGAGCATAGGCCCAGATAAAGATAGAAACCCAGGCAAATTATTGTTGACCTACCCAGGAAAAGTGGACAACCTTTAACCTTTTATTGAAAATTTGTTTCCCAACTAAACACGAACAGGTGGACAGTTTGGTTAACCTTTATTTTGAAGGAGAGTGATGATGCTTTCGTCACGTGCGAGGTCGACACGTACCCCTTTTCGAGTTCCTAAAGGTAGCAAGCCACAGGAGGGGTTGGACCCATACAGAATGGGTCTTACTCCAGGTGTGAGGTGTTTTGATTGATAGTCATCCCGGCGGATCGTGCTGCACTGGGGAGTGATTTAGACCTACTCAAGGGTGGCCACTTCCATGACTGTCGGAGGGAGGGTAGGCCGCAGGATGCCCAGGATACCCCCGTGGCAAACTCGCAACCGAGATGCGGTGCGCGTTTGACGCAAGACGGACGCCACGGTATTTCTGGTGTGACATCATGGCAAGGCTACAAGCCAGTGTGTTTCTTTCATTCCCTAGAGCTTCAAGTAGCTCCTGAAAACCCATCTTAAACACTTCCCAAGAAGGCAGTTGGAGCCCTGAGAAGTAATTAATTCATTCTTGTCCATCAACTGTCACCGAGTCACCACCACTCCTGACGTGGCTTTCTTGGGAGGCGGGTCCAACGGGCTTGGCAGCTGCTCGGCGGGAAGCAAGGATAGCTCACTACTGGGCACATGGATTGGAGAATTCCCTGCATCCTTCCCACTTTCACCACCACCACCCCAGCACCAGCCAGTGGCTAACTGGTCTTTTTTGAGTGATTTGTTTGTCCGCCAAAAATGGCAGGTGGAAATAGAGCCGGTCAGAGAGTTTGAAGAACAGCGCTTGGACCTGTGTAGATGCGGCAACCCGGTCACGCACCGAGGACAGTAACCTCAGTCCAGTTGGACGTCCACGGCTCAAATAGGGACAATTCGGTGCTTGCAATACATCCCAGAAACTCCATGTGGGACTGGCATATATGCAAACATTGGGGTGGTTATTCCATACATGGGAGGGGCATAGGGCATTGTTCGAGGCTTTGACTCGGTTTGCCGCCACCTCTTGACTCGACATGACACCCATGCAAACGTGTAGGACGCTTCGTCAGAGGGTTCTTTGCCACAACCTGTTTGATCACAAACGGATCTTGTCACACCAATTTGGGGCCGTCATAGGAGGCTTTTCAAGCGGGATTGCGGCGGTGGGTGGGTGGTGCTGCTGGAGGCTGCTGGCTGCTGCTGCTGGCCCTAGGGATCCACCATACCGAACCTCAAAAGGTACAACTGGACCCTGGTACTTAAACGAGTCTCCAATCACCATTAGAGGCTACACCAGTCAGTCAAAAGGGTCATCAATCACGATGGTTTGAGATGGAAAGGGCATCATCCACCCACCATCATCCAGCATCCAGCCACCTACTTGGAACCTGAAAAGCACCTGCCGTCTGAGGAGCGCTCGCAGGCGGGGTCCCGCCGCTGGTTCGCGCGGCCCCCCGCCGCGTTCGTGACGCAGTTCGTGACCTACTGGTGTGGTCGGTGACGGTGACCGGGCGTTCTTGGACTGCTGGTAGTTGCGTTGAACCACGGAAAGAAACCAAGTAAGTGGATAAATTGTGGATATAAGATGATATAAGAAAGATAGACTGAACCACCAAAATGTTTGAGTGAAACATTTGGGGAACCACATGCATACGTTTGTCTATGGTTCTAGTAGGTTGCCTGGTGGCATCACTCCGTCAAGAACATAAAAAAGGGCAAGACGACTCGTACCTACCAACGCTTCGAAGCCGTCGGCCGGTTGTTGGGGCCGGACTCCCTCAGTGATCTGAGTGAAGCTGCTAGGTAATAGGAGGCCAGCCATATCATTCATGACTCCAGTGTATGTGCTGGGCCTAAACTTGGCTTTTGCTTGCAGTTCATTTTTCTCCCTTGGAGAATCGGAGAAGATTGTTTTTTTTGTTCCGGGTTCTGGGACAGCAAAATCCAGGTAAACCATGTACAGATTGCCATCGAAATGCCACCAATTCCTTCCTGGACCAAACCTTCGAGTTCAACACATCAGCTGTCAGCCCTGATGAATCGGCATCCTCCATGGGAGTTCATTGAGCAACTAGGCTCGGTCAAGCGTGTGAACAACCCGTGCGATTCTAACGGGCGCTCGTCGAATTGGAACTCTCCCGCCCGCCCGAACGAAGGGGTTGATCTAGGTCCACTTCGTCAGGGGTTGGGTGAAGGGCTTGATAGAGCTCAGGTCAAGCTGGATGGGCCTGGAGATGGTGTCTAACCCAGACACTCCATGTTTGCTTGGCCATATGTGCCGATCAATTGACCCCAGGTCCACCACCCCAGGTCCCGTTTCTCGGCAGTCCGACATGGCAGTCCCATGTGTCGTGTTTGGGTAAACCTACAGAGGTTAAGTGACCTTATAGGACCCTACAGCAGTACCTATAGGATAGTCTATAGGGTTCTTCAACCTCTGCTGGAAGTTCTTTTTTGCGTTTCCAGGTCCACCTCGCACAGCTCACGGCTTATTGCCTGGGCCGGGGCGCCCCAAGTCGGGTGGGTGACGGCCAGGGTGGCGTGACGGCGGTCGGGGTGTGTGTGTGACGAGCTCCCCGTTGGCACAAAGGATCGGAGTGCAAAGGGAAGCAGTTGTTGGAAGCTGCTATCACACCCAAGCCTCAACACAGTAAAGGAACAATTTGGAAGTATAGCGAAGAGACGCGAAGAGCAAACCCAAACATCATCAAGCACCCAAACAAAGGATGACAAACAATTCAACCATTGGACTCCGCGAGATGCATCAGACCAAATAGTGAGTCTCCGTGCAAATATGACTCCTTGTTCAATGTGTTGCCCCAGCTTCTGAAGCTTCTGAAGGTGACTGAGTCGTTGGACCACTTGCAGGTGATTCGATGGACTCTGGAAGGCATGCTGCGTGCAGCATGTCTGGCTCCGAACTGGATGGATCACAGATCAAGTGACCGGTCACCAGCACGCATGGACCAAAACAAACACGGGCCAAATGATCTTCGGCCTGCCACTTTAGCCATACTTCAAGATCTTTAAGACAAGGACCATCAGAGGTTGAAGGACCCGTAGTTCGCCTATCCCAGTCTGGTACCCCAAGTGACGGGTCCTATTTACGGTCACTGGCTACCTCTCTTGACTACTTTGAAGTTCGATTTCCGGCATAAGCCAATTGAGGGGTCCATGGCGTCGGCATTTCGCATACTGCCCATGGAGAAGACCAGCTCGTCGACGGGTCGCTGGCAGACACTCTCAGCCTATGTGTTGATACCGCTGATGATCCTGGCAGCTTGCGTGCTGACCAGAAACAGCATGTTGCAGAGGAAAGCTGCGAACTCACCGAGTGTGCTGCTCAGTTGTGGAGACTTGGCTGCAAGATGTTGCGAATTTGTGAGCTGCACTACTGATGTGCAGAATTCAGAACCTCCTAAAGCCCTGCAAACCTTTCTGGAGCTTCAGAGCAGGGGTATTTGCGGCTATATGTTCATGTGTGCAAGCCAGACTCAACTGCGTTATATCCAAATAAATTTATTGACAAACTGAACTGTATTGCAACACCAGATGTAGTTCAAGGGCCATGTCAAGGGATGTTGCACTGGATATACTGTTGCCCGCTCATGGCCATTGGCATGTCGGGGGCCTTAACTCATTCCAAACAGTAAGACCGACCTTCTTGTAGAGCCTGCAGCCCCCAGCCGTCACCCAGCTGTCACCTGAAAATCCTCCACAGGGTGGTTGCGCCTTTGAAATCATTCCACAAGAAGCATCCCATTTTCGAACCATGTTGAACCTATAAGTTCATCTCCACAAAACGACCTCCTTGGCAGGTCGCCTCTCGGGCGTCCAAGACGCCGGCGTCGCCGCCTTCCGCGGCCTCCGCTACGGCGAGGCCCCGCTGGGCCGCCGCCGCTGGCGGCCGGCGGCGCCAGCCGCGTGCGCGGCGGGGGAGGCCACGCAGGAGCTGGAAGCGGTGGGCGTTTTCGTGGAAAGTGACCTGCGCGGTGAAGTGTTCATGGTGCGAAGAGCGGTATTGGTATTTGTATGTATTTGTTTTGTGGGGTTTTCTCTGAGAAATTGGTGGGCCTCTGGAAGTCCAGGACGGTTTTTAAACATGGTCTTCCCCAAAAAGAGATGTCCTTTAATACCTCGGTGGCACCTGTAGGACTTGTAGGAGAAGCGTTTTGTTGCCATTTGGGCTTTTAGGTAATTATATGCCCAATGATCCCCAAATGGTGGTGTTCCTTTTCGCTCAAAAGTTTGCTCAAAGATGTTTGGGATCGGATCCGCAGCTTCCACTTGCCATTGAAAAAGCAGTCCATTTGAGGATTTTGATGTTTCGACGTGAGGATGGTCCGAGCTGTCGACAGGGCGGAGGTCCCGGAGAAAGTGAGGACAGAGCTGAGCACAGGAAGACGGGGACCTCATCGGTTGGAAGCACACCATTGTCCACCAATTTACATGGAAGTGTTTTTCACCACCTGTTTGTAGATGTTTGTAGCAAAAAGTAAACATTGTGTGTTTTCTAGGGGCTATGTGGCTATGCCATCGACTTTTCATATTATTTTTGGGAGAGTGGAATGGTTCGTGCCGATTTTACACTATAAAACCAACGTCAACCATGGGAAGGGCAGGGGAATTATCATTCGCAGGGAGCATTTTCGCCATGTTTTGAACCACTGTCCAACAGATGTGTGGCAACGGGTTGGTTGTCAGCCCTAAAGCGGCAAAAACGCAGCACCAGCGCAGATAGTCTGCGCAGCTGCAAGATGTTAAAAATCGTTCTGATGATGAATTATCAAAGGGGAGGGACTCATTTTATCTCCTTTTACTAGTAGGCTGGAGGCCATTACTAGTAGGTTGGAGGCCGTCACTACTAGGGTGGAGGCCATCGCTAGTAGGTTGGAGGCCATTGGTTGTTTGGGCCACCAACCCCTGCACCAACCTGACGGACATGCGGCAGGACTGCCTCAACCTGAATGTTTTCGTCCCGTCACTGGCCCTGAAATTTCATTAACATTCTACAATGCCTGGAACAAACATTGAAGTTGATTCCTTCACTGTGGTTGACCTCCCATGGGCAATCCATGCGCCACGACCCAGGTCTAGATTGTTTGAGGGCACGCAGGGCGCGCCTTTGCTGACTTCGTTGCCGGTCCTCGTGTGGATCTATGGGGGAATGAACGTCATCGGTGATGTGGAATTCTATGGCCCGATCGAGTACCTTAGTCAAAGCATCATAACCACAGGATCCCTAGAGTCGTCGCGCTTCCAATGGGTGTCCTGTTTGGGGACCTGTAAGATCCTGTAAGTAGTGTAGGTTGTCCATTGGTGAAGCCATGAAAGCAGATAATAGCCAAAAGCATCAATCAATTGTCAAGTTGTGGTTCCTTGCTGGTTTTGGTCAAGTGTCAATCATGTCAAATCAGAGGAGTTTTATTTGCGTGTGTGTTTTACTTTGTTACCCGTGGGTTGGCCATGTTGAATGCACAAAACATGGGTGATCCCAGAAAAAAAAGTTATTCGCTCGCAGGAACATCGTCCGCAAGCGCGACTGCGTGCTGGTGGCGATGAATTACCGTTTGGGCATTTTTGGCTATCTTGCTTCTTGGTTGCAGTAGCTTAGCCTCCCTGGACAAGATCTGGGTCAGTTTTGAGAAGCCCCCTGAATTGATTTTCTTATCCTGGGATGCCCACTATGCGTGTAATTACATGTTCATTTACATACATTTGCATTGTTTAAACTACTGTAATAGGTTGATTTTTAACCACCATGAACAACCACGAGTTTTACCAAGAGATCCTCTCCACTGGGCTTCGGCCAGACATGCTCGGCGTGCTCAACGACGACCTCCATCAACCAACAGAGGTGGGTCAGGACCCGACTGTTCGACTATCATAGTTGGGTACCCGAGTCCCCCAGTGAGGTCCTATTTACGGTCACTGGCTACCTCCCTTGGCATCTCCCCACCACCTCCGGCGAGGTGGTCTTGGAGTCGGTTGGGGGTCCGAGTGAAGGGGAGTCCGTCGATCCAGGCGCGAGATACGATATGTCAAATGGATCCAAATTTTAATGTTTACAATCGTTTACACACGTGATATATGTACTGCATAAGTTAAGGCAAGTCATACCAACAGAGGTGGGTCAGAACCCGAGTTCGACTATCCCAGGCCAGGGTACCCCAGGTTTTCCGGGTCCTATGGTCCCGGTCACTGGCTACCTCGGCAGGGGAGAATTGGGTGACAGAATGGGAAGGACCTCCTTTGAACCTTTCCTGGCGCCATCAGAGCCCCAGAGTGCATCCGACCGCGACGTGGACCGCTTGTCCAGTGACTCAGATGAAGTGGTTCAACGAAACCTTTGAAGGCTTCGAGAGACCAAACACCTGTAAGACGTTTGTCAGACGTTTTCCACTTGTAGTCACTATATGATGCCACAAGTTACCCCAGGTTTTTTGGCTTACATGGAGCCCCATCGAAAAGACATGTAGGGGGTTGTGCCATCTACTCTGAAACCAGCCTTGTAAAAATGGGCCATAACTGGTGCTGGCACGATTTTGGCACGGGGCAAACCATCGCCCTAGCCTGCAAAGACCATTAAAAGGTCGACCCGGTTTTTGTAGTCAGAAGCCCTTATATAGTAAAACAGCTTGGCGCTTTGGGATTCTCATTTAAAAAAACACAGGGGGGTAACCACTAAACCTCTTTCCTCACACTCCGCCGGAGCGGAGTCCGGTGCTTCCCCTGATGAGGCTTTGAAGGAATTGGCCACCGTCGATCCCCGGGGCAGCAGCGGCAATCTGGGCATCACTGATCAGCAGCTGGCCTTGCACTGGGTCCAAGAGAACATCGCGGCCTTTGGTGGCCTGCTTTGATAAAAACATGCGTTTCTATGTGTTTCTGTTTTGTTGTTGGTGTGTTATTCTTAAAGCATGTGTTTCTTCTTGTCGTGGGTGCAACTATGATTAATGTTCAAAAAGGTGGTGGGACCCCCCCCCATGAGACTCATCAAGACAAGGACAATCTTGAAGTCTTCAAAGATCCCAATTGTGTGTCTTTTTGTTGGGAGGCAAACAGGGGAAAGTATGTTCCAGGCATTGTGTTCATGACCATTTAGTGCATTCTTCCATTCAGACGAAATCCAATGAAATCAACGAGTCTGAAATGCTGTTTGCATGGGATGTCCTTTTAATACAGAACTGATATAACAGTTCCGAGAAATTGCTTGGACTTTATCACGCCAAAGTGGCGTAATCCTACACATGACCTTTTCCTGCGCCACAGATGCGACGACAGGTGGTGACCCGAAGAAAGTCACCCTCATGGGGCAAAGTTCCGGCGGATCCAATGTCTTTGCCCATTTGGCCTCCCTAGGACACTTGGGAAGCAGCTAAAGACCCCATGGGACTGTAATATGTACCTGGCCCTGAAACCTTGGCCAATGTAGGTAAATATGCCAGTCCCATGCAGTCTTTGGGCAATATGAAGCAGATTTCCGGATGTTGCGCGATTGACTTGCACTGGAAGGTGCAGGTGATTCTTGCTTTGTCATTTGTGGGCGACTCTCAGAGCTGCAGGGGGAAGCACGTAGAGTTCTAGAATGTACAGCTCACATGGGTACGAGCACGGCACAAGTGGTTATATCGACCTGAGTTGTTCTATGGTATCATTAGCAGCTTGGTAGGTTTTGCGGACAATTGTTTTTGTTTTCGTTATGGTTTCACAGATGTTAAACAAGAACAATACCGTACAAACCAAACACCAGGAAGCCAACAACACACCAGAATGGACGGTGTTCTTCTCCATGGATCGTAGACCACTTCGTTTGCCCCGCTTGCCGTGGGATTTCACGGGCTCCGAAGGGACCTCACAATGCCGAAGGTGTGGTTTGAAAGCTCTTGGGCAGGAAATGCCGGGAAGGATGTTGCAACTGCCAGGACCCCACAAGGATCACAAGGGGTGGTTAATGGACACCCGTTCACATCTAAGGGGCTATCAATAGAAGCCCCAAACAGGGTGTCCTGGTATGTTAAAAATGACTGGTCTTAAGGAATTGCCCTTTCCCAGGAATTGACTCTTCAGTGTGGAAGATGTAGACGTTGGACTTCGGGTTGTGTTTGCATGTTTGGTGTCCTTCGGCCACCTCAGGAAGTCGTGGATTATTTCATCGGGCCATCTCTCTATCAGGAGGGGGTTGGGCCCGATCAAGATGGTCAATTCAAGAACTTTGAGACTTGAAGACTTGAAGGTCCTGCAACTGCTGGTGTACCCATAGACAATGTAAGCATTTGTCATGCAGTCCCATGGGGTGGATGGGATATAGTTGACCAGTCCTTATGAAACGCATGAAAAGTTGACCAGTCATTATGAAATTGACCAGTCCTTATGAAAGGTCTGAAGCTTGGAGCGCACCTGGACGGACCTGGACGGACCTGGCACATGCCTGGACGGACCTGGCGCGAAACACAGCCCGTTTTTTACAGAAGCATTCATCGGTGGTGTCCCAGCAAGGCAATGAACATGTAGCAGTTGGGTAAAAGATTCAATGACCATCCCGCCTTCTCAATCATGGAAATGTCTTCTCACAGGCCTTTTTTTGCATTCCAACTCCATGATTGTTTCAGGGAATGTATCACTATGTTTGAGAAAGGCCTGACATCCAAAAAACATCATCCACTGGGCCCCGGGTGTTTGGGATAAAACCCAAAAGCAGACCTATTCAATGACAACAAAATGTACCATAATACTGCAACATCCAAAAAGGATGCGCATGATTTTCAGAACGGCAGGATCCCCGAACATTACCATGGACCGCGAGACCAAAGAGGATCAGGATCGTCGCTTGATTCTTCCGAGAACCCCTTGTGCTAACCTGAGTGGTCCAAAACTGTTGGACTGCCTCTACACTGCAGACGCGATGGCACTGGACAGAGCGCTGCCGAAATCATATCAGCTGTTCCGTGGAGGCTGCAGTACCAGTGAAGCTTTTGGATTCACCAGAAACTGCCGTCAGTTTGGGGGTTGTCATGTTTTCATCTCATTCTTGATCACACTTGAGGAGCGTGTCTATGTTCAAGTCCGGATATGCTCAGGTGTGCCCATGTGTCTATGATCACATATGATCACATTTGTTTAGTCTCTGTTGTTTCTCGTACTTTTTTCTTCACATTGTTTTACTTAATTGTGATGTTTCTTTGTGGGTAAAGCTCCTTCTGGGAATACTTACTGTAGTTTCATTTTTCCCGTTCCTGGACAGCCAATCCAAGTTCACCATCTCCTGCACATCCACAGCCAAGGTTCGACACCCTCTACGACTACCCCACCACCCGCGTTGGCCTGGGCGCCAGTGTCAGTGCGCTACTGCATGTGGACGGCGTTACCGTGAGCGCGCCTGTGTTGGAGGCCTTAGGCTCCGGGATGAACGACGTACCCTTGTTGCTGCAGTCCATGCAGGCAGAGATACTTGGCATTCACCCACCCTACTTTTTTTCCACCAAACACGCGTAGGTTGAAGGCTTTGGTTCACCTGCATGCCTGCAGAGGTAGCCAGTGACCGTAAATAGGACCTGTCACCAGGAGTACCCTGGCCTAGGATAGTCGAACAGTCGGTTCTGACCCACCTCTGCTGGTGAAACCAAGTCACCCGAGAGTCGGGTGAAGACACCATCCAAAAACCGGACGTCGATCTGTTCATCAATTTGTAAGCCTGAAGAACGGCTCGGTGTTTTGCATGTGGCCCATCAGGCAAGGTCGGTCCCAAACTCAGCATGCGTGGGTGGCCCACCGGTCCTGGACTGATCCACAAAAGATGTGTCAACCCGGCTTTTGTTGGTCATTGTGATTTAATGATGATGATGTGTAATGTATTTCACCCCAAGCTTTGGTCATTCCCTCAACCTTCGTCGCCATAAATTAGGAGAAATCATGGGGGCCATGACATCCGATGTGGGCAGTGCCATCATGCATGCCATCTCATTGCATGCCGCTTTGGAATGATTACAAGTGTATAATAGTGTGTATATATACTATATACTGTAAGTATATTAGTATGGATATGGTCCGATATGGTATGTCTTTGCTGGTGATAAAGCACGGTAGTAGTACAACTGTCAAACATGTAGAATGTAGACATAGTAGACAAGTGTAAACAAGGCCGCGCATCCTTTCTCATGCTTTATTCTGGCTTGTTCAACCCGACTTGTACACCGCCGCTCGTTCATGATTACATCGCTCACCCCAGGATGGCCTGTGCACCAGCGAAAGTTCTGGAGAACCTCACCGCGCGTGGCTTGGGCGACTTCCTCGAGGAAGTGTTCTCGCCAGTCTATGGGCCTCAAGTGGCCCACGAAATCAACGCGGCTCGAGCTCAAGCCTCGTGTCGACAGGTCTTTTGTTCGGGATCAAGCCTCACTTGGCTCACTGAAGTGAAGGAAGTGAACTTCTTCAGGTCACCAAGAGACTTCTTCGTTTGCCTGGCCTTGGACTCTCAAGGAATCGGCCAAATGCAACGTTTCACACCCTAGGGATCCACTGCCACCGTACCTCAGGTTCGGTACGACTCGACCCTCCTGAGGCGCCGACAGCCTACCAGAGTCTTCACGAACCGTCCCTCAGAGGTAGCAGTGGATCCACAGGACACACCAACAGAGGTTGAAAGGGTCCCATAAGGGTCCACAGGTACTCCAGGTGACGGGTCCTAGTTCAGGTCACTGGCTACCTCTCTTGACATGTCACATTTCGCACATTTGCCGTCTGGAGCTCTTTTGGATGGGGCATGATAGGACCTTAACCCCCATCAGCCACCCATCCATCACCGCTACCAACCCCCTCCACAACATCCAATAACCTCAAAAGAGTCCTCAAAAGCTAGGGAAGAAATCCGTTTGTACTCGCCCCCGCAGTCACTGGGAGGGTGGCGTGGGAGTTTTTGGAGGTCCCGTTGCTAAACCTGGCGATGCCAAGAGCATTTGTTCGTTTTTTAAATCGTCATCCACGCTCGGCAAAAAATCACCTTCTTTCTGCTCTCCCTACCCCAATCAAGGTCATCATTAGATCTCTCCTGTCGGACGGTGATTGGTCGGATGACACGGCCCATCCAACACGGTACAGAATGGATCAGGTAATTATATAAGCCCAGGCCTCGGTACCCGAGGCCACCTACCAACACTACGTTCCGCCAGAGTACGGCGCCTACGCCGTGGACGCAGATAGTGCCAGCGCTTGCGGCTTGCGGGCTTTGGCACAAGCAGCAGCTGGCAGCTTCCAGAGCCCTGTGTGGCTCGGAGCTTCCGACGGAACTACTAACCCTATGGCTCGACGACATACCTTCTGAGAAAGTGATTGGATACTATATGATGTAGGCACCAGCAGGGTCCAAGCCGTACCTTCTGAGAAGGTATATATGTGGTGAATGGTACGTCAGAGAGATGCCACACAGTAAATTATGAGGTTGTTCATGGAAGTTTACCATAGATCATATTGGAGTGTGTTTTTTTCTGCCGGGGTTGTTCTAAGATTCCAAAAGAATCATGTGGTTCCAGGGGCCGCCCCCCCCCCGATCCCAAGACAGCCAACCCATTCGGCATGTCCTCCACAGAAGCCGCGCCCAGGTATTGGAGCACCGTGACAGCCCAGCCAAGCCATCCGGTGAAAGGGCAACGCTTCCCATTCCACAACTGGGACTCTGGGGCTTTATTTATATACACTGACTCACTAACATGGAAGTGGAAAATTGCCCCTGGGAAGACTGCTTTCCTTTACGAACAGGGGGCTTTCATGTTAGTGAGTCGGAGTGCAGTTGTACTCCCATGAGAGAGGTGCTCCTTTTGTGCTCCTGAATGAATGTGCTTCTTTTCCTTCAAGTGCCCGAAAAGCAAAAGCCTGATCCTTTTGGCGCCGTTGGTTGGCGTTGGACATCACTGGAACAGTGGTGTCATTTGCTGAAGAGATGGACAAGTTTGAGAGCTCCTTGTTTCCCAACTAGTCACTTTTCAGGCTTTGCAAGGAATGCTCATCCCTGGTCGGGCTCGGGGTCGGAGAGTCCTTGGGTCTGTGGGCTTGGTATATGAAGCCCTAATCTTAAAGGTCCAACAAAGCGCAAGTCTTTACAGTGTTCCCCCCAAGCAGACTAGCTGGGCCCGACCTCAAGTACCCTAGAACAATGGGACATGACCCTATTAAAACCGGTGCGGCTGCATGTTGTACCAATCTCTATAGGAGTACTTTGAGGGTCCTGCATAATAACTGACATGTCCCAAACCATCTAAATTGCTCCGCGGGAACTGCTTCCAACGATTTTTCCGACGAAGGACTTCATTGCAGCAAGTGAGACCTTTGGTGCCTACACGCCCTCTCAGAAGGACCGGCCCCGTGGTAGGTCCTCTTCCTGTTGGAAGATGCTGGGAAGAGATGCCTGGTTTTGCGAAAGAATAGGGTGACGTTGATGTTTTCGGTGAAGCCGGGGATGCCGCCCCCTGACAGCAAGTCCAGGTTTGGAAGATGCATGTCTTGCAAAGAGATGCGACAAAAGAAGACCACTGGGTAGCTCATGGTTGCTGAACTATACCTAGAGAGATGGGGTGAAGATTTGGATGAGAGTGTCCAATTGGAGTGATGTATTTTTTTGGCTTGGCAAGGTCATGTTGTTTGGCGTCGCACCATTTGTTTCTTCCAAGTGGCAGCAGACAGGAGGTGAGAAAAGACCTTCCAATGGACTGACCGAAGGCACGTTTCTGTGACGTTTAGCAGAAAACTGGCAGGGCTTATGCGATGTTTAATCTCCAGGTTTGGCACCAATCCAACAGAGGCAGCATCTCCTGGAGAGATGACCTCTATTCATTTATATGGCTTATGGATGCTTATGGCAATCTTAATTAACATAAGAGATGGTAGAGTTTATTGATGGAAACGCCATGAAACGCCCCTTCATTCTCCCATCTTGGCTGTTACCATTGTGACCCAACAGATGAACTCCTAGAGACAGATGGATAGATGGGCCCCTTTAAACGTCCGACTGCCTTCGCCAGGACCTCTCCTTCGGAGCACGGCTTAGGGAGGATTGGTTTCAGCTGATTTGGGACGGAGACCTGACAGAATTCAGACGGGTGGACGGCGTTCCAGTCACTGTGTATGGAAAGCTGTGCCTACATGGACCCCTCAATCCACCCCAATCATCAATCCCTCTGGCATGCCAGTCGGAAGATCGTCTCTGTCTTTCCATTTGGAGCCTGCGATTTCGTGCGTTCCCACTGCCTGTCGCCGCCGCCCGCGCCGCGCGAACCCCGGAGGTGAGATCTCGACGTCCGGCTACCGAAAGGTCCAAGCGTCGGCGCCTGGGGAGCTGGTGGGCTCGGTGCTTGGAGAGGAGCGACGCTAGGTGGAAGAACATGACCGACCTGCACGGATGAAGACGGATCGAGGTACTACCAGGTAGAATAGCTGATAGCTGATAGGGTGTCTTAGGATTCTTATTGTAGAATTTTGTAGACTTGCCACTCAATAAGCAGAAGTTCAACGCCTGAGTCATAGTGAGCAAGAATTTGAATCCATCAGTTTGAGGGCCTGATGTTTTTCTTGTAAGCATCCAGATTCACGTGCGATTTGCTGAGGAACTGAAGCCTTCCAGGACCACAAGGGCGACGTTTGCCATTTTTGGTCTTCCATTGGTGTGGACCAGCGCTGGTGGTGGATCAACTGAACTCCTTGAGCCAAGGCACAAGGCTTTGAAGCGCTGGTGTTCCGGGTTTTGAGCCGTCGCCACATGAGCGCCTATGGGTTGCCCTCCTAACAAGCAGCATGGAAGCGGAAGACTCCTTGGTTTTTGATATTCAGAAAGTAGTCTTCCAAGTGATCCTATACCGTACCATAGGAGCATACCCACTTGCATGCTTGTTGGATAGAAGGTGCCCACTTTGTACATAGGTGTGTCCTCAAGCCTCATGATGAAACGCAGCGCCGGCGCGCGGTGCGGGCGGGCCCAATTGGTGACAGAGCCGTGGTCAGGGCAGGTAATACGAAAGAGATCTACCCCTCCTCCAACAAACATCGCCTAGAAAGGAAGACCGTTTTCCTTTACAAACAGGCCATTTTCCGCTTATGCTTGAGGACACCAGAGAGGTATACACCATGGGTTTTCCCATGCACGGACTTGGGTTCACTTGCGGACGGGGGGAGAGCTGCTTCACCTTCGGCCACGATTTTGCAGTTTCTTCGCTGCAGCGAGCCTGTTTAAGGTGAGGCCGGCCACGGCAGGAGCTCGCAGCTAAGTGCGGTCGTCCCGGTCGCCCCTAACGGTCACCCAACCAACCAGTTACGCAGTGGGATGCCCAACAACTGTAACTGCTGATGGTTTGATGTTGTGCGTTTACGTCCACACCCTGGCTCATCCCCTGACCTGGGGTGGGGGTAGTGGCCTATGGATTGAAGGTTTGAAGCACCTGGTCACACTCTCCAGCTTGGAGATGTGACCACCAGATCCGGCTTGGACCCCACCAGCGCCAGCGTGCCCAGTCCGACCTGACCAGCCGCTTGAGGTGACCAGTCCGATCCGCCTTTGTTCAGTTGTGAGGACTGCTTCGCACCGGGCGTCCGAGGTCAGCGTTCATGGGCCAGGCGGTATCGAGCAAAAAGTCCAGGTCAAAGAGGGATCAGAACTCGACAGATGACTCTTCTTGGCTTTCCTGACCAACAAAGGTTGAAGGACCCTATAGATTATCCCAGTCTGGTACCCCAGTAGGGTCCTATAAGGTCACTTAACCTCTCTTGGGATTTCCTGGCGTTTCGTCTGGCTTTGCGGGTGTTTGCCCCACAAAGTGAGTGTGGTGAACCTATTCCCCCGTGTTTGCATATGTCCGAGGTGCATACAGGAATCCAAATGCATGCACATGAGATTTCGTTTGGGGGACTGTGGTTTCCATGTTCTCCTGTCTCTGCTCTGCCCCCATCGTTTGTGGCAGGACTCAGTTCAATGGCAGAGCCAGAATGAGGAGTTCGTTGGCGGTTTGCTCGGAACAAATAGAGGTTGGTAGTGAAGTTTGGAAAGCGACACACACACACCATATATATATACATATGGGACATGGTCATTTCTGGTGCAATGATAGGCATTCGGGCGATTTGGGATGTGGTGAGGCATGGTGTGGTTGGTGAAGTCTGGAAGTATAATTCAATGTATGTAATTCATTTGGTGAGACTTCTTCTGTGGAATATGATTACAGTACGTGGTGACTTCTTCTGTGGTAGACAAATTAATTTGATCTTTTAATCAATTGGTCTATAAAACGATTATGGTGCAGAGAGTTCATGAACGTAGGCCTTAGGCAAGTCTTGAGCATGCTCAGGTGCCGTTGAGTCCCCAAGTCACTTCACTGGTAGCCTTACGAGTCTCCCATTTGTGTTTGGTGTGTATGTTTGTCACTTGGATGTACAAGATGGGTCCACGTCCCTGGCTTCAGCCAATCCTTGGATTCAGAAGATTTTTTGGAGACCCTCCTCGCCCATGACGTTTGGCAAGCGGGTTGGTATTCATGGCATTCCTGCGTTTTTCCCAGGAGCCTCTTCCCACCGCTGCGTGCGCAACAAAGAGATTTGGGCGCTGTTTATGCTGTTTTCTGGACGTTTGATTGTCGAATGATTTCATGGCTCGAAGCTGCAGGAGATGTGTTGTTAATTTATAGTGATGTTAGCAATCACTGCACGCCTCAAGACAGTTTTGTCGCTGTGTTGTCAAAAGATGTTTGTTTGTCCAGATGTCTCCGTCTGAGTGTCGCAGAACGGCTCATGGCTGTCAGACATAGATATTTTAGGTACGTGATTTCCTTGGTTGATTGGTTGGCTGACTGCCCGGCAGCCGGGCATTTCCTGCGTGGGACTGCATGGGACTGCGGGTAGCCCGCAACAATGGCGCCGGCAGTCCTAGCAAGTATACTAACTAGGGTCTTTATGGTCTTTCACGGTTTTTGCTTATGCAGTAACTCGATTTGGCAGCCATTTCCCCAGACAACTCCATGGTCAAAAGCTGTCCAAAGGGCATGTGAGTGGCATAGCGTGTTTGGACAATTCGGTGCACCGATCAGCTCCTGGCTGCAGCACACAGGTACGAGGTAGGAGCAGCGGCCGCAGCTGTGAAAGGAGCGCTAACAGAGAGAGAGAGAGAGAGAGAGAGACGCCCTGAGGGGTTCGGAAGGGTGGGGAAAACACAGCGGCCTTGGTTCCTAAGTTTGGAGAATGAGGCGGAAGCAGTTCGGACTAGACCTGCATCTTCCAGCCATGCTAAATCGCCTTACTGTGCTGATCTTCTAGATGAAAGAAAAGGCAGACATTCCCGTTTGGGCTCCAGTCGTACCTCCTCAGAAGCTATGACTGGACCCTCCTGGCACCCACCCCAGTCTCACCGTCTCGAAACGAAGGTTGGAGCCGGGGAGCCCAAACGGGATTGTGAAGATCCAGGTGTCGGGCATAAAGGATCTCAGTCTCGTTGTGTGCCCCTGTGTGCTTGTGTGTGCCGGTGTGTGGTGTCGCAAATGGGTCCGATCTAGGTACTGTTTGGTGTCGACTTCTGCTCAGTAGGGAATGAGGGAGTGAACCCCCACAAGAGATGCCTTAGGATCCATTGCCTTATTCAGCCTTATTCCTTGCTAAGCACGAGTCTGGAATGAGACCATTGCTAAATGGAGGCCCAGTCGATGGCGCACATCGGAAAAGAGAAGTCCCGCACAGCCACAGTTCCCCCGGCTTCACCGGGTCGACCTGGTTTTGGCGTATGCAGGAAGTGATGTGTCCATCCGCTACGAGGTGTGGCGGGGAGCACGCTCCTCTTCGGGGGCTTGGTCCAAGCTGGTTTTGCTGATGGGGTGATGTTTACGTTTCCCATTTGGGTCTTTATATGAGTGATTCCATTCCTAGATGTTTCCAGGAAGTCTCCTGTTACAATGCATGTGCGGATCCCAGCACACCTGTTTCTTGCATGATGACCGAATTGTGCTACCAAGTTTCCTTCAAACCTTCGCTCAGCACTCTTGGAGAGCCACCAATTTTCGAGGACTCTGCAGCTAAACTGTTCAGCCACGAAATAGGAGTCCAACAAAGTCAATGCACAAATATGATCCACTCTTCTGGTCCTGAATGTCCTGTATAAGTTTTGGACGTTCGTGACAGTTTGTTTTTCATAGACTGCCATAGACAGGAGTCGGACCACCTGTACAGCTATAAGTAAAGGAACAGGTGGACGAAACGGCTCGGGAGTCAGAAGATAGGCTTGCTTGTAAGGCCTGGAATCATGGGAACAGAAAAAACACGACCCTTTACGCCCAGACACTCCAGATCGTATAAGCATGACTCATATATCATAATTAGTTAATTAGTTACTCTACAAGTCCGAAGACCCAGTAAAACCTGCTCTTTGACCTCTTTGGGCAGTGCTCTTGTATGACCAACCCCAGTAAAAAAGGAGGTCATTGACCTATAGGGCAATAGTATTGACAATCTATGTATATATTGTATTATGACCTTACAAGGCAGGAATGAACCCCCCAAAGACTGCATGTATTTTCAAACGCCACCAGTGCCAGGTCCTTTCGCAGGGTCGGGCGGCCGAGTCGCTGCGCCGGAGAGCGAGGGCAGACACGCCCGTCGTGGGCGCCCTAAACTGGTTGAAAAGAGGCAAGGCTCAATTCACTACTCCCTGGAAGACGATCCCATGGACCCTCGAAACCACTGGTTGGTAGAGGAAAACAAAAAAACACTCGGACCCAGGGGGCCAGACAGTCAGGGTCGAGCTGTTAGTTGACTCGGGAGTGTACCCGGTGACAAGTTCAGTGCCCAAGTTCCCCACTTTGAAGGTCGGGTCCCAACAGCCGATCTGAAGGTCGGGTCCTGGTAAGAGACTGCCTTTCCACTGCGCTGGTGAATTTGGTTCTGGATTTGGTTCCGCATCATGTAGAGGGGCAAGTGCTCTTTGCAT